GCTTTGTGTGGACGGGGCCGTAGTCTCTAGCAGCATGACTATAGATATGACATAGGAAAACTGAGCCATTCTACTGTAACAATAAGGTTTATTAAAAAGGAAAGCTTTAAGCCTAGCCTTAAAAGTAGACAAGTTGTCTGAAGAAAAATCTGCCTAAAACTGGTAAATGTACAATTCTACTTAAAAAATTCTAGGGTGCACTAGTCAACCTAAGCTCTGTTGATATTACTGGGAACAGTCTGGTCTGTGATATAAGATGGAGCTGGGTTATTTAGAGATTTATTGGTGAGAATAAAGCATTAATCTTTAAAGGTTATTTCATTAGCTGTGTCCACATGGAATTGGGGGTAGTGTTGTCCTAGCAGTTAGAGCAGTGCACTTTTGCTCTAAGAAGGTTCCAGTCACCAGTTTGATCCCCACAGCCAGCACTCTGGGCTCCTGAGCAAGACCCTTAAGCCCACATTGCTCCCCGGGTGCCGCAAATAGCAGATCACTGCTCCCCAAAAGGATGGGTTAAATGCAGAGGGTGAATTTTGTTGCTTTATACTTGACACTACTACTTGCGTTAATCCAAACAGATGGAATAGGAGATTTGTTTTCTTCATTAAAGGTGAACTCTTCTCTGAAACATTTATCCTCTCACTAATGGTACTTGTGAGTTTAGTTTACTCAGAAAAGAAACTAATATGAAGTCTATAGTTTACAATAAATGCAGTCAGCTGTCACACCCATTTTCTTTGGTTTACGGGAGGAAAAAGAAAGTATGGATAAAAGGAGCGGTTATCAAGCAGAGATAATTAAACCAGATAAGGTGTTTTACTTTTGTTTAGCTGAAAAGATTTGGCAATTTTTTTGTTTCACTTTCAAAGTTTTTATCCATGTTTTTAATCTACATCTTTAAGGGCAGTAAGAATCAGACAAATGGCGTAATCAATTCTGAACCAGTTTAGAGCTATAACTGATAGAATTGAAAAAGGTAAGAGGATATCCAACGTTACTCTCTACAGAGCACTCATGGACTCCTATCTTTGAGACAGGCCTCATCATCCCATCAGATAATGATATATTTCCCTAAAAGCTTCAGGTGATACTGACCCCAGCTGGCAAAGCACAGAAACACTCGGTAAACAATCACCATTAAATAGTAAAATAAATCCCATAAATATATCAAAAATAATCTAATTTTCATCCTACAACTCAAAATGTACAAACAATGCAGAAAACGGAAACTATATTTATGATATATTTGGTTTGATCACAGTTACTCATTTATCAGCAAGCAGTGGAATCTCCCAACCTCTGAATATAGCCACAGTTTAAAGTATGTTTTATGCTTTAAAGTAACACATCCATACATACACATAAGGAAACTGTTGGTAATGGGATGGGTTCTTTTATAGAGCTGTTGATAAAACCTTTGTCCTGTCTCTTTCTCTGGTTTGGTTTGGGTGAGACTGGTGTTCCGGGGGTCCTGCTGCCATGTTTGATGCTGCCCTCACTGCTGCCAACATTTTTGCACTTAGATCCAAACTGTGCTTTTACCCTCTTTGTCATTATTATCCTCATCTTTGAATGACAAATTTAGACCCCAGGTCACACAATAGCATTGATTTGTAATAAAGGAGCATTAATAATTTCACATTCCTCACCAAAATATATTATTTTTTATGCAAATCACATTGCAGTCTCATGAAATAAAGTGAAATAGTTAATAGTGAAATAGAGAAAGCATGTCCTTTTTATATACTTGGGAGCCAGAATCTTCAGATGCTTGGCCAAAAACTACAGGAAAGGACAGATAAATAAAGGTGTCTGATTTTTGTTTACTGGGCTGCAGCACAATTTCCAATCATAGAATGTAAAAAAAATATTATTGACTCTCTGGTCTAAGAGATAATTAGCTAAGAGCGGTGCCGTGTCTGACAAATATCTGCTTGTAATTGGTTAAAAAAGTAAACAAGGATCAGAGTGCTGTCAAGGTACATTGAAAGAAAGTTAGCATGTAACGTACAGGATATTGGACCCAGGAAACAGCTCAGACAGGTCAGTGGAATGCAACAGATTTTATTAATGATTGGCACAGGGAGCATGCAGACGGCTCTCAGTCAGGAAATCCCCTGTGGCGGAGACAACAGGTTAGTGATCAGCAATAGGAGAACTAGAGAGGGAGTGAGGCGGGATCACGAACCTGTTACTGGGCGACTGGCACCGTTTTG